CTCTTCTGTGTCTTTGCTGAGTTTCTTTCCAGTTGTTCTGTGTTACATTTAAAGTGGTGTATTAAAGTCTCCCACTAGCTATGACTGTGGTGTTACCTATTTGACAGTTTATTTTTTATATCAATTAGATAACAGCTTTCTTTTGTCTCAGTCACATCTTAATTGTGGATTCTTGGTGATGTTTCCTGGTTTTTTATTTAGATTTACATATATTCCAAGTCTCCTAAATAGTATTTGTGTTTTAAAAAAACTCATCATTTCCCAGATGTTTATAGTCAATTTTGAAATAAGTAATCACTAATCTTTCAGCATACCCTAATACGGAGACACATTTCTTTTTATGACGACTGATGAGTTTTTATTTCTTTTCCCCTATGCTGTGAGTTTCCTCAGACTGTAATTGCCAAATCTTGCTGAGCCTTTGATCGTAACCAAGGCTTGTCTTAGCTTCCCATTAAAAAGGCAGTGCCCATGGGTTCTCAGCAACAGGAAAAGTAAGTGAAAGCGGTAGACGAGAGCACACTGTTCAGTAGAGTCTGACTACAAAAGATCAGGGGAACGAGCCAACTGGGTGGTGATCTGTGGATCTAGTAAAGGTTTGGCAAACTAGGGCCCTCAAGTCAAATCTGCCCTACTTGTTTTTGTAAACAAAATGTTATTAGAACAGAGCCACATACCCATTTGTTTAGATACTGTCTATGGCTTCTTTGCTACTACAGTGGCATAGTTGAATAGTTGTGACAGCTAGAAATATGTACTTTCTCACTAATTTGACAACCCTTGATTTAGTGGAATCTGAAGTCCTCAGCTGCCTGCCAGTTCTGAGCAGCATATCAGTTTCTTTTTTCTTTTTTCTTTTTTGTAGAATAGTTAATTGTATAAGATATGCCATTGAAACCATACCTGAACTGGCAGCCTAGAAGGTGAGCACATGCATTCTAGCCCTACTCTCTGGTACCAGGAAGTTGTAGAAAGACTGACAGGTGAGGTTTTGAGAACTAGTGAGCTACATCTGTCTGACCACATTCTGTTAATAAAATCACAGTGAGGTGAGGAGCAGGAAGGGAGCAGTGGTACCTGCAGTATCTAGTCCAGGCCTAACTGCGTTGAAAGGGAAAAACATTGGTTTTATGCTACAGTTGAACCAACTCAAAATTGAAAGAAAGAAAGGAATCATTTATAGCAGGGACCATTCCTTGAAAATTTAGCATAAGTCTCAGAGTAGAAGCAGCCAGTTTTCTGATGATATCTCATGAGGAAAGTATTTTTATTAACCCTGAGTAAATAAAAATAATCTGATGGCAAAGGGTGTGAGTAATCATAATTAGTTAATTTATATGAATAGCTTGACACTTATTTTTCTCAGTTTTAAGTGGTATGAGCTTTATTGTGACTTGATCTCTTCCTTTTAGAGGTCTTTAAGGTAGACAAAGGAGCTCTGGTAGCATAGTGCCTAAGGCATTTGACTGCTAACCAGAAGGCTGGTGGGTTTGAACCTTGGAAGGAAGGTTGGGCAACCTACTTCCGTAGTGATACTACCTCGGCAACCCAAGGAGGGGTCGCTGTGAGTCGGAGCCAACTCAACGGCACACAACAACAACAAGGTAGACAAAAGAATGGTTCTCTCAGTTAGTTGAGTACATTTGTTTTGGTCTAAAAATCTAAACATACCCTTATAATTTGAGAGTGCAGGGTGGTGTTGTAGAGTTCTTTTTCCATCAGAACACGGACTTTTGCCTCTCAAGTATGGACTCCTTGAAGGTATCAACTCCTTCAATAGAGGAAGAAAGGCACTTTCGTGTTGCGGTCTTCACATTATGGCTTTGACAGCATTATTATATGATTAAAACTAAACCTACTGCCATTGAGTTGAATTTGACTCATAGTAACCCAATTTTGGGTTTCTGAGGCAGTAAATCTTTACAGAAGTAGATTGCCTAGTCTTCCTTCTGAGGAGTGACTGGTGGGTCTGAACCACCAGCCTTCTGGTTAGCAGTCAGATAGATGCCTTAGGCACCATGCTACCAGAGCTCCTTATTATATAATTAAGTATCTATTTTAACTGTGAGTTGACCAGTGGATTAATGTGATTAAAGCCACATACATGATTTTCTGAAATACAGTAGATGATAAAAAGGAAAATTCCTGAATTTAAATTTTCGGAAAGTTCTCTCAACACTCTTCCAGTTCTATTAAGTGAAAAATATTAATGAAAATGCTGTTACACATCTTCACGTTTTACATATCTTTTGCTAGGACTCTATCACTGTACATATAAGGAGCACAAAAGGACCTATTGATGTTTATTTATGTGAAGTAGAACAGGAAGATACAAGTAACAAAATGTCTGAAGATGCAGGGACCTCTTCATCTGAAAGCAAACCTCCAGAACACCGTGATGAAGGTACACTTACCAACTTTGTTACTAGAAAAATTAAAGATCCTGATTTTTAAAATATGCTTTATAAATATTTTTACTCTTCGTATGTGTAAGAACATTAAAAAAAAATCTTTAGAACATTACAAAGTAATTCTTGTAAAAAAAACTGCTGTCGATTCCAACTCATAGTGACCCTTCCTTGGGTTTCCGCGGTGGTATCTCTACAGAAGTAGATTGTCCAGTCATCCTTCTGAGGAATGGCTTGTGTGTTTGAACCACCAGCCTTCTGGTTCGCAGTCAAATGCCTTAGGCTCTATGCCACCAGAGCTCCTAATTCTTACTATAGTTTAGAATATTTCTAAAATTTAACTGTGTACTTAAATTTTGTTTAGTTTTGATATCAGTTAAAACTAAGAATTTTAGTTGATTCCATAGTGGTACCAACTGGTGGTGTTCCCTGTATAGGGAAAGCTGTCTACATCTCTGGCATATGCTCTTGAGTACATATTTCAGTTCATGTATTCTAGTGATTTTGTAAAAAAAAAAGCCATGAGAATGTGAGTTCTTAACCACATATCTTCTTCTTTTTTTTTTTTTTTTTGCAATTCATTTATATGTACTGTTACTCATCTGCCTTTCAAACTTTCACTTAAGATTTCTTTCTTATATATTCTTTTGCAGAAGAAAATCCTCCTCAGCAAAGTGAGGAATTGCTTGAAGTGAGCAACTGACTACCTAGAGCATTTGAGAATTCATGTATTAAGTTCTTTTGGAATATCCAGTATGGAAGAATTGTGCATCAGATTTGATTCTTGGGGCAATAAGTCATCCATGAAGTTCTCTCGTGCCCCGTTACTAGCAGTATTAAGGCCAGTAGTATCTTCTTCCTAGTCAGTAGCATTAAGGCCAGTCGTATCTTTGAGCAGTTCATCGCTTAAATTTATGGATAATTATGGCATAAGCATTTGAAAATAACTCTTTTTATAATTATGCACTGCTTTTTATCAGTGAAACTGACTCTTCCTACTGAAATAACTTCATCACAAAAAGTATCACTAAAACAAGTGGTCAAAACTGAAATGATCAGTTCTTCATGAGTACTTCCCTTTCCTTCAGTGATTGTGTTATAAATCACAAAAGAGTTGCCTTACACTGGTTCATGTTTGCATTTAAATGTTGTAAATTGGATAAATGTACACAACTGAATCTGAATGTGATGTTTTTGTATATTATATCTGTATAATGTTTAGATTACTTATGAAAAATGTCTAAGTAAAACTTTTCACCATTGTACAGCCAAAACAATGTATATATGGAAAGTTACAAATTCTCTAATTTCTGTGGTGTTTATAATTTATTAGAATCCTCTGCATGAGGGTTAGAAGAGAGTTTTTTTTTTAAACTTCTACATGTAGAAGTTTTAAAAATGTACTATACATTTAAAATTCATGGATCTAATTAAACTATTTTAATATGCTTTTCCAATGCTAAAATTGGAGTCTGGTAATTCTTGATATCAAGCTACCTACAAAGCTAATTGCATCCCACTAGACGGGTGGCATGCTCTACAGCTTTAGGACCAAGTATAGAAATGCTATTAGATAGTAAATTGTATCCTGAACTGTCTCCAGCTCTAGTCCCACATTTCTAAGTACTTAGCCATTTCTACCTCACTGGGTAAGTCATTTACCTCTCTGTGCCTCAGTTAACTCAGTAGTTTGCCATTAGACTGTGAGCTCCTTGAGGGACTTTGTCTCATTCTTTGTTATATTCCTGCGCCTTGCACGATGCCTGGCACATACAAGGTGCCAAATAAATGTTTGAACAAATCAGTGAGTGAGTGAGTGAGTGAATTATAAAATTAGTCTAATAATTTTTGGCTTGTCTATCATACAGGATTGCTTTCAAAGACAGATTTGTTGCAACTTAAAATCAAGACTGTATATAATAAAATTTTAAATAGGAATAAAAAATTAAAATACTGAAAAATAATGCTGCTGATGAAATTGGTTTCTGTGAGGTTAGATTTAGTTGGAATTTCCTTTCATTTGTTTTTCCTAAGCTGTAATTAAATTAGCTAAGATGTGTATAGGAGCTCTGGTAGCATAGTGCCTTAAAGCATTTGACTGCTAAACAGAACTCACCAGCCACTCCTCAGAAGGAAAGTTGGGCAATCTCCTTCCATAGTGATACTGCCTTGGAAACCCAAGGAGAGGTCGCTATGAGTCAGGGACAACTCGACAGCACGTAACAACAACAACAAGTTGTGTATATATTTTGGGTTTAGGATTCACATACCTCTGCACACCAGTGGCTTTTGCCAGTCTTATCCCACAGCTAAGCACCGTCCTCCTCTCTCCTAGCAGTCTCTGCTGGCTTGTTGCTATATGCCTTGAACTGCTCATTTTGCTCCTCTCTCTTAAGTGCTTGCCCTCAAGGCTTTTCTTCTCCACTCTTTGTTTTATGCAAGCAAAAATTTATCTGAATTGAGCCAAAGAAAAGCTACAGGGTCACTATTCGATTACCATTGGACTAGCTGTTGGTACGGTTTTAACAAAGTAAGAGTACAGGAGAAACTGCAAGGTTGGGGTAACAAGTAAGTTTTAGACATGTTTGATGAAGGTGAGAGTTGAGGCAGGCAATTGTATGTAAGTAGGTCAGATGTTCAACGCAAAGATCTGAGCTCTACACAGTAGATTTGGCCATCAGTTTATATGTGATTGTTAGAAGCATGAGAGTGGATGAAATCATCTAATGAGAGGGTGGAGCGAGAGAAAAGGAGAGAACATGTGTATGTAAGGAGGAATACAGAGGAAAAAACCTTTCTTGAAAAGGAGTAATAAGGAGAGAAGGATAAAAAAGGAAGAAGGTAGTATCCCAAAACCAACAAGGAAAGCATTTCCAAAGATGGTAGCATCATTTCCAATCCACAGTTCCTTACTTGTGAGATGTGACAAAAATGTTCTTTACAAATTGTTATGAAAGTGAAGTGAGATCATGTAAGCATATCCTCTGTGACCTGTAGAAGTGTTAGACAAATGGAGTATTTAGCCACCGTTGTCACTCCATGATCAGGTGCTTGATCTCTTTGAAACTGCTAAAGGTTGCCTGCCCCAAACTGGCTCCAGTCTCTTCCTCCCCATTCTATCTTGACCATCATTGCACTCTCTCTCTCTGTATATCCACTACCACTTTCTTCCATAACACATAGCCCTGTTCAGAAAATTGGAGTGTTTCCATATTTCCTTTAGGCTGAAGTCCAAACTGTGATTGAAGGCTGGCCCCAGGTTAACTCTGCAAACATGTCTTGCTACTTCCTTTGCAAGCCCTCAACCCAAACCAGATTTGACTATGTCTGAAACACACATTGCACATCCCCATCTCTGTGCCTTTGCTCTTACTATTCTTCTGCCTGAAGTTATCTTCCTCTTCCCTGTTTTTCAGAATTACATCCCCATTCTGGATCTGGCTTAGCCAAGCCTGACCTACATTCCTTCCTTCACTTTACTCCCATAATACGTACAGTCTACGTAGGGCATTTGGTGCTCATCATCCTCTTACTTTGCCATTAGTTTTCTCAGCTGGCGTTGCATGTGTTCCAAGAGTAGAACCCATATATAACATACGTTTTTATCTCCTACATTTACGTGCTATTCAATACATTTTTACTGGTTGACCTGACTACATTAAACCCTACTCCCAAGAAATTTTAAAAAGACAATGACTTTTTCAAAACATAAACCAACCAACAAACTGAATTTGCTCTAGAAGAAAAAAAAAACAAACTGTATACCAATTTTGCATTTTGTTCAAAATTACGGTACATCTGACTTAATTTTCCCTTACCTCAGCAGAAGTTGAACGCCGTTGTGCTGTGTGAGTGTGCTGTTATAAAGAACTTGAGGCAGTGTGGTCCTTATTGTGTCTTCCCTTTTGAACCCTCTTTGGTACCAGGTATCAGCCTAGCAAATAAAGCCTTGCTGTGTGCCTGGAACTTCTAATTTTGCTCCTCTCTGAGAGATTGTTCAATACATGAGCAGATACATGTACTGACTGGCAACAAGTTGGATCCCCAAGTTACACAAGTACTGTTAAGTTTTTGGGGCCTTGAAACAGAACTAGCATATCTTTTTTGTATTAAAAAAACCCAAAATCAAACTCACTGTCATGGAGTTGGATCCGTCTCATAGCGACCCCTCCTTGGGTTTCCAAGGCAGTATCACTACAGAAGTAGACTCCCCAACCTTCCTTCCGAGGAATGGCTGGTAGATTTGAACCACCAGCCTTCTGGTTAGCAGTCAAATGCCTTAGGCACTACGCCACCAGAGCTGCCAAGGAGTGGTAAAGAAGTTGTGTCTCAAAACCTCAGGACTCTGCCACTTATCTACCAAATGAATATAAGAATAAAACCATCTAAATCATTAAAAGCAATTCATTCTACCACAGTGTTTCAGAGTTGACTCTTTAATTCTGCTATTAACTGTTGGCTTACCCAATCCCGTGGTGGCTAAGTTCAGTGTGCCAGGTGTTACTTCTAAAGTTAAGGCAATGCCTTCTCCTGGTTTTATCTTTGGCTCTTGTAACTTCTCAGACAGACCTGGCAGCCTGCTTGGCCTTGGCCTCCATTGTCATTTAGAGAGTGAGGTGATGTTTAGGGCTTTTAGCCCAGCTTTTAGAGGACAGTAGGTGGGGGCTAAGAAGAGGAAGAGGCAGTCCCCCCCAGAGAAGGTGGACAAAGAAGTAGAAAATGAGAGGAAGGGGATAAGGAGCCAGGGTGAAAGAAGGAAAGATGTGAAGGAGGGATGGCAGGAGAAGAGGAAGAAAGTGATGATGAGAGATGAGAGTAGGAGGAAAAAGCTGTTAAAAAAAAAACCTTTTTTCCAACTACATAATTGCATGAAGTTGGATTTTTCTTCATAAACTTCCACCAAAATAACATATTACCAACAGAATGAATGCAGAAGCAGATAGAAGAATCAATCGTCTATAAGGCTGGACATTAAAGAGATTTGCAAAAATGTAAAATAATACCACTTCTCATGAAATTGTTTTTGTTTCGGAAAATATAGTATATTGCATGAAAATATTTATGTTGATACGTAATAGGCTTATTGGTAAATTAATAAATTTAAAATTTTCTGTTTTAATTTCCAGTTCTATAAATACCCATTGATACAGCCAGATAGATGGAAGCTTTTCGAGGTCCTCAGTAATTTTTTTGGAGTGTAAAGGAGGCCTGAGACCAAAAAGATTAAGAACTGCTACCCTACCTTATTCTTCCCAAGGGGTGGAAACTATGGGGCATCCCTTGTCATCTTAAAAGAGCTGAAGTGTTTGTAGATCTTGACCCAGGCAGGTCTACAGACATACACACACAGTGCTCCCTTTTTTCTCCAAACACCCACAATAACAATATGACTGTTGTTATTAGGGGCCGTTGAGTCAGCTCTGACTCATAGCGACCCTGTGTACAACAGAACACAACACTGCCTGGTCCTGCACCATCATCACAGTAATCGCTGTGCTTGAGCCTGTCGTTGCAGACACAGTGTCAGCCCATCTCGCTGTGAGTCTTCCCCTTTTCCACTGACCTTGTACTTCACCAGACACAATATCCTTCTCCAGGAACCAGTCCCTTCTGACAACATGACCAAAGTTACGTGGGACGAAGTCTGGCCATTCTTGCTTTTAAGGAGCATTCCAGCTGTACTTCTTCCAAGGCAGATGTCTTCATTTTTCTAGCAGTCCATGGTATAGTCAATATTCTTCACCAACATCATAATTCAGATCCGTCAGTTCT